TACTCCTACTTCTTGAATACATACATGTGGGAAAACATATATGCGTTTATACATGTATGTCAATGCATAACAAATAATTTTTTAGCAAGACTGAAGATAATTTTGGTCTGTGGGAGAAATGAATCTGAATCTATCTATCTAAAAACAGCCTATTGCAATCATTCAAAACTTGAACCTCTTGGCGTATATATGTTAGTTGTACTCTTAAAATGCCAATTGCATTGAGAAATTCAAGGTATGAAGGAAGGGGAACATTTACTTTCATAATCCTGATTCAATTTAGGCATGAAGCATTTCAGTCATCAGAAGACTGAGGCAGTTCTGTGCAGAAGCAGAATTTCAAGTGCTTGAATAATCTTGCATTCCAAAATTGATGGAGCCAAAGAAGTCATCACGCATAGTTTTTGGAATTGTACTTTGAATCTTAGCCACCTAGAGTTTAGTGGAAACTATTTATATCACTTAAGTATTTCACAAAATAGTGTAGAAAATCTTTTTTTTTTTTTTTTTTTTTTTTGTCTGGCTTTCCTGTCTGGTAAGAAATTGCTTTACTAAGAAAATAGTTTGTTGAATTTCTGTATTCTGAGCAGTACCTTGCACAAACCCTCTCTCCTCAGTTGACTGTCCCTCTTGTTAATGATTCTAAGTAGCTAATGATTCTAACAGCTTATCTTTGGTAAATAATCAAGATACAGGCTAACCTTATGGTATTATTTGGTAGTAATAATGAAAAATAAGCTAGGACAAAACAGAAAAAAATAACTATTCCGGGCTTGATCTGCTCTTGAGTACAGAATGTGGAACATCAACAAGGAGAGACAGAAGCAACAGGTTACAAGGTGCTGGTGATAATTCTATTAAAAGCAGTGGACACGGGGACCTTGGAACAAGGTGGTTTGGGGCCATGACATTGATTATTTTAACAGTATGGTTTTAACAGTATTGACTCTTTCAGGTGGAATAGGCATGTAATAAGCTACTGAAAATATATTTTGGTTGTAATCACTGAAGAATCTTTCTGCTAATAAGCAATATCTAGAGAACACAAGTAGCATAACATGTATGTGACTTTTCAGTCTTGGATTTTTTTTTTCTTTCTTTTTCTCAGATTATAAGAAGAACAGGCTCTCATTCATTTCACTGATATCCAAGAGGGAAAAAAAAATCAAAAGTATATTTTTTATTATAAACTGATTTGCAATTTTTGTATTTATTATACACAGTAATTATAAAACATCCAAGAAATTTAATAATGTCATCTCAATTCCAATTTTTATAGGAAAGGCCGTAAAAATCATATGGTCTCAGAAAAGATTATTAAGTAACCCTTGAAAGCTTTAAAAAAGCTTTCTGTATTTGAGCTTAAATAGAGCTGAAAATGTTGTGTCTGTTGTTCTTTTCTGTTTAAGAGGTAATAAGAAAAGTTAAATAAATATGATAGTCTGCAACACAGCTGTGGCCATGTTTGACTACACTGTACTTAATGTCAGTGCCCCCAGGCAAAGAGCACTATTATTTTATTTTATTCTTATTTATGTTGAGAACACAAAGCCTCACTGATTTGAACTCATTGTCTTGACTCTTTAGCACTAAAGAAAGAATTTTCTGGCTTTAAGCAAGAGTGTTTTAAAGAAGCAGGTTGAAAAGCAGGTGGTCAACACACCAGAAGCTACTCGCTAATTGCAGCAGTAAGTTAATCAATGAAATAACAGTTTAGCTTCAGGGTACAATAAAAAGTGATAAAAGACCACACCATTAGGATATGACTAGCTATTTAGTGGCATACATTATTTTTCTTCTTACACCTGTCTGCTTATGAGGACACAAGTCATGCACCTTCTTGTCAGCTATTAAAAGAATAAAATAATAACAAAAAAGCATTTTGGGGTAAGACCCAATATAAATATTTACAAAGACAATTTAAAGGAGTACTTGTTATGCATTTTTGTGTTTGCTTTCAAAACAATGAACTCCAGAGACAGATGGCTTGTACAGTTTTATCAGCATTTGTGTCATTATGTATTCAAGTAGCCAAGACTGATAATCAGCCTTATGTATTATGAATTGTTTAGAGAACAAATACTTTGAAAAAAAACATATCAAGAAAGTACTTCACTGTGGACAAAACTTGATACAGAAAATTCAGCGACATTTTTATGAAAACAAATTAATACAATTATAAATTTAAAGGAGCAAGAACAGGTTTTTAAGTGGGGTCTTTGTATGTAGTAATGAAACAACTTCAGAAAATTGAGTAAAAGCTACTATTCATCTGTGGTGGAGGAGAAAGATTATTATTATTATGTGAAAATTCTGCTTCACAATATAAAGCAGCCAACTCTTTAGAAGCTACCCATGGAAATGGAAGATTTCTCTTCTATCATGTGCTTCATGATCATTTTGCTTTATGCTATTGAATAACAACCTGAATGAGAGTCTTAGAAAAAAATAAACCTTTTATAGTTGAGAACATAATTACAAAAAATCTGAAGAAAACCATATTGTTAAATGTATATATATATATTTTTTTTTTTTGTAAGTGAGGTCCTTTTTTTTCTTCTCAAAATTTATTTTCAATCTTCTTTAAGAGTCTCACAGTAGGACATTTTTAAAGTCCTCTAACTTGTCATCATTCCCACTATTATCAGTGATAGTTACAAAAACATTGGGTTTTTGTATCTAAAAGGCTTAACTGGAAATGAGGTGCAAAGAGCACTGCAGGCATTATGAATGAAGCTCCCTTCTCCAGAACCAGTAAGCGCAGTCATGAGTAGCAGCTCAACAGCAACGTTATTACTTTAAAAAAAAATCTTCTCTTAAAAAAACAAAAGAAAACAAACAAGCAAACAAAACCAACAATATGGATTTATTTTCCTCATGCCATGTCATAAAACAAAAGTAATTAAATAAATATTTTTAATAACGTAAGAGATGATGCTTTGCATTTTGTGAACTTCAACTTCACAATATTTTAATGAGGCAAGTAAATTTTCCCTGTATTTTACAGAACAGAAAGCATGAAACAGAGTACTTGAAAATATACACACTCACTTGAGTAGAAACCCAAACCTCTTCCCCAAGTCTGGGCAGGCATTTCATTCACAGACTTTTACGTCCAGGCACAAGTAGAAGAGTGTTCAGACTTGCACCAAACCTCATGGCTTTTTGAGTAACTGTTCCAATACAGCTAAAGGAATAGCACTGGGGCTGCCCTGGAGTTCCTAGCCCTCTAATGAGAGTGGAAGATCTCTCTACCCACAGCTGTCATTTGTCACCTACACCAATCAAAAAATAATAATCTGCGGAACTGACTACAATACATTGCTATGTGGCAACTTAAAAAAAAAAAAAAAAAAAAACTGAGAACTGAGAAAAAATAGCAATTATGAAATAAATTGAGATAAGTTGAGTGCTCAGGAAGGGACTTGTTATTGTGGGTAACTTATTGTACATGCATAGTGTACAAGAGAATGAAATATTCTTCACCATTGTAATGCAGAAATCTTTGTTAGTGCCCTCACTTATTTTGCATCTCAATTCTATTGTTATAAACAATTGCTTTTTGCTGGTACATCACTGGCATTTTTCTTGATTTATACCACTTTTCAAGATGCTTTGTAACTTCACTTTTCCTTTCTCCCCTCTAAAATTCTTTCTCAAAAATCAATCTATAATTTCTTTCATGTTACTGGGCTTTTTAATCAAGGAAAAATGTCTCTAGCTCTTCAAATATCTACAAAATTAGCTAGCTGATTTACTCTGGAGTTGAGAAAGGGTGTTTTAAAAATCTTGCTCAAAATTGCAGCACATTTGGAAAAACATATTTCAAATAGTGAGAAATATTTCACAAAGACACATGAAGTAGTTTCTCTACATTTTTTACTATCTTGTCCTTCCTCAAAAATCCAATCTGATTAGATGAACAAGTTCAGTCAGTTAGGAATACAGTATGACAGAGAGAAAGTTAGTGCTACTGAAGATATGGGTTACCTGTCTGCTAGACTGCAAGATGCCTTCAACTGGCCAGCTGTGTCCTCAGTGGTGTGTCAAAGACGATGAAGATATTTAATATGCATAGTACATTACTAATCTTAATTTCAGTCTCCTGTGCTCTCACATTTCTGACTTAAAATAGTCATGAGAACAACTCTTTATGATGAACAAGATTTATGTAACCTTCCTTTTTTATTTACCCCTTGATTTTTATGGTTGCTGAGATGTGTGTTAATGGTCAGAAAAGTTACATTTTTTTACTTTGTTTTCTGTTGCAACACTTGAAACTTTTGCAAGATTTTCATGTTTTCACAGTAAATCCTGAAAACTTTAACTTGTCTCCTACTTTTTGGGAATATCAAACCTTTATTTACTGGGTATATGTCTAAAGCTGTGTATTAACCTATGTTTGTACAATAGTAGAAATATAGAAATTTCTGGCATTCAGATAATACCTTTACATTTTCAGACAGCAAAATGTTTCTTAAATTACAGTATACTGTTAAATTGTCAAAGCATTAAAGGCATAAGGTGAGATGAAAGCAAAAGCATGCATCCAGAATATAGACCTTTACAAGGAGTATAAATTCTCGCTCAGCATCTGCAAGAGTGATATTTTCACCTACCTACTTCTGTATTCTCAGTGTGACTGAAGAGTTAAGTTTATTCAGAGTAGAACCAAAGACTGATAATTTAGGGCTAATTTAATCATCTTTTGAAAACTGTGTATGCATATATATAGAGATTGCATGTCCAGAGTACATGGGCTATAAAGCAATCACTTCAACACAATGAAGAAGTATCTAGGATTTACCATGAACATAACAGGTTTTGTGAAAGACGCAATATTTTTTTCAGAAGCATTGTAAATTTTCTCAGGAAGTATATGTATACATGTTATGTCAAATATCAAAATCTAACATGTCATTTTTTCTCCTCTCTCTCTCTCTTTCTTCTTTCTGTTTTGTTGTTATTTTTGTTTGTTTGTTTTTCTTCTTCTACTACAGATGGGCCTCTTGGGCCAAGAGGATTAGCTGAAGCGACAGAGATGTGTACTCAAGAATGCCTGGTTTTGGGTCATTCAGATAATTGTTGGATGCCTCCCAGCCTGGGTCCATACCAACAGCCAAAGTCTCCTATGTCTACCTTTGCATCTCAGAAAGAATGGGTTAAGAAGGACAAATTAGTTAATGGACACACACTGACCAGGACCTGGAAAGAAGATAGCAACAGAAACCAGTTCAGTGATAGAAAGCAGTATGGTTCCAGTGAAGGCCATTTCAACACTGGCAATCACATGACTGATATTCCTCTGGCCAACTTGAAGTCTTATAAACAGGCCTCAGGAGCTGCTGAGAGTCCAAAGGAGCACCAGCTATAAGAAACGGTTACTTTGGGCCAATGACTTTAGCCTACTTAGACTTGCTAATACTGTTTGTGTGTCAGAGCTTTATGTACTGAGTAGACCTCTAGAACTATGCTTTGCCTAGCAGAGATATGCATATCTTTATGTTAGCACCGTGGAAGATATGATGTCCTGCAAGATGAAAGAGTTCCTACTAGTTGTGTGGTTTTGTTAAATAGACATGATTAAACTCTGCAGCAATCTCTCCAGTTTGAGAATATTCTTTTATTGTTTGGTTTGTTGTGTTTTGTTTGGTTTTTTTTTTGACCCTGGACTGCTGCTATGAACAACAGAAGATACATTTTGAGAGTGGGAGAGCGAGAAAGCTCATTGGATTGAAATGATTGAAAAGAATATCCAGTTAGAAAATTGTGCTTTTGTTGTCATTGATCTATGCTGGGACCATTATACTTGAGAACATATAGCAAACAAAACAACTGAAACTGTAAACATTAAACCTATTGTGCTATTAATGCTAGTGGACACTTATAAGTCAATCAGTGTTCAAATACTTGTAAATAGAAACAATTATTACTTACAAAATTTGTGTACTTATAACATTCACTTGAAAAGATACGGTAGCATATTTCTGTGTTTCAGAGTTGCTTTTTACTTTCTTTCATTTGCTTCCTGTTGTTTTGCTTTCATTTTCAGTGATGGTGTTTCTGTGTTAGTAATCTGTCTGACACACAGTGTTCCAAGGAACTCAAAACACTTGTGTTAAAAGGAGAAAAAAAAATAAAAAATAATAATGAAAAAAAAGATTGATGAAGTGAGAGAGAAGGTTGCTGGTAGAAAGGAGAGCAAGAAGAAAAATGTTTTTTTCTTTCTAGTAGTAGTGAGTGATGCAGGCATTAAGGTAGTTTTTTTTTTGTTTGTTTGTTTGTTTCCAAATATTAAGCAGAGAAAGGATATATGTAAGGGCTTTAAAAAATTGCAACTTTTTTTTTTTAACTTCCATTCTGTTTCATAAAACAGGGAAACTGCAGAACAGAGGAGTATTTAGATTCTTGTTTGATACAGTGAGTAAGGGAGAAAGCTGCTAATATGGAATCCTTGATCAAGTTAGCTGCAGTCTGGAATTTAATGAGTGGCAGCTGACATTGATCTCAGCTGGAATTTATGAAGGAAATTATAAAGGAAGAAAATACAATAATCATGTTTTTCCAATTGGGCAAGTGTGTGTCTATACTTAAGACAGTTTGTATTGCTGAAACAGCAGCATTTGTGTGGATCTTCATCTGCGTTAATGTTGTAGTAACACAAGCATTTTTAGACCATAGCCAGAGAATATTTAATGTGTTGTGCCTTCATGATGTAACAGAGCATTCTCCTGGTAGGCTAGTTGGGGGAAATAAAGGGTTAAATCTCTAATTATTGCTGTTTAATTGTTTGTTATCATAGTTGGTCAATGCCTGGCAGGTACCAGTATCATGTCACCTCCGTCAAACCAGCAGAGTGACTACTAATGTTAATAAGATCTAAGTTGCACGCAAAGCAAATCCAAGTCCAAACATTCTTAGATTGTTTTTGTTAAAGCATGACAGATTATTTACACAAATAAATAGCATGCAAAAGTTTAAAAAACGTCCTTGCAGAAAAATATAAAAAAGCAGAAGTTACTTATGCCACAGTGAAACATCAATCTTAAAATAACGTTTAAATAACCTGAAGGTGATTTTATTCTTACCACAAACACATTATTTTTTTCTTCTTTATTCTTTTGTACATAGTAATTCACATTATTTTCTTCTTCCACATTATAAACGGCATTAAATGGGTTAGGGGTGCATTGCTTATTGCAGTACTTATGTCAGTTTGTGAGGGGTGTTTGATGACTTTGACAGAATAAATATCTAACCAGTTATCCTTGTTACTGCTTTGCCAGTTCAACATTATTTAGTTATTGAGCTCTTGCAATAAATGTTCTGAATTCCTGATTGTGTTGTGTTAGTTCTTGGGCAGATGCCTAAGGGACTTGATTCCTGTTAATTTGTTTCTTTTGTTATTTGTTTGCTTCATTCTGAATTTCCAGGTTTTTGTTTAAGCATATCATGGTCCATTTGGTTCTCATAGAAATGTATTAGAATGGAATATACACAAATGATAAATGCTGAGGGCCATATTCTGTTGTTCCTCTAGTAAGTAGGAGTTTATTTAAAAGGATTATTTAAGTAGCATAAAGTTTTACTTACCCAGAACAAAGATGACATAATCTGGCCCAGATTAATTAGATATGCATAAATACATGTAATAAGCATTCTTTCACAAGTCTTTGTACAGCTAGCTTATGGAAAGGTTAGCATTTAGCACAGGTCAGTGTTCCTTTTGAGAACAGAGAAAACACAGCAAATACTTTCTTACAAGAAAGTGTGCAAGATTATATAATGACTTTTGTTGCAGCGTGGTGGAGGAAAAAAGGCAAGCAATCTTGAAAAAGAAGTAACAGTAAAAGTAACCTATTTTTGAACACGCTGAGTTTCAAAGTAGAGGTGCATCAAGTTCTATATTAAAACTAGAAATACCATAAATATTTGCAAACTCAAATAACACCAACTATTTTAAGTGCCTTTTTAAACAGATTATATTTGAAAAACAAATCTCTGAATGACAGAAATTTCCTTCTTCACAAATAAGATCTCACAATGATGCTAATAATGCCACAGAAGGAGAGAGTACTATTTTGCTGCCATCAACCTGTGTAGGAAGAGCACAAATAAATATGATTAAAATTTCTTGCAGGTAATTTCTTTCCCATCTTCCCATCTCGTTTTTTTTTTTTTTTTTTTTTTTTTTTGTTTTGTTTTGTTTGTTTGTTTGTTTTGTTTTGTTTTGTTTTTAAATAGTTCTAAATCCTTAAAGCCTCAACTAACTTTTATATACTTATCATATTAAAACAACAAAACAAACATGCAAGAAATAAAGAAATAAATACATCTAGCAATGAGGACTTAATCCCATCTCTAAACCAAGGGGTTCCACAGCACCTGGAATTGGCTCTAAGCCTATATTCAGAATGTACTCATTCCTTTTGGTCAACCATGAATATTAGTACTGCTGTATAAAACAGAAAAATAAGAATATATATGTAAATCAAAGTCAGATATTGATAGGAATTTAGTGATATTCCAGATGAGAGACTTTAAAAATAAAAAGCTAATCCCACTCCGCAGAATTAGAAGTTGGCTGAACCTTACTGAAGTTTTCTACATATCTTTGAAGTGAAACATAACTTAAAATTATTGGTAAGCTGGCATGACATGGATGCCATTCTCATGCCAGTTCTAGCTTTGTTTCTTCAGCTAGGAAGATTTATTTATCATTGTTATTATTTTATGTACACATTTGAAAGGACTACTAAAAAGATAAACTTCTTTTCGAAGTTTCATTATTTTTATTGTTGCTGACCAAAGCTCTTTATCTAAATAGAAAGTTATGGATTTAGTTAATCCTTAATCTCTGTGTGAAACTCTTACTATTTAGAACATCTTTCCCAAGCAATTGTCTTGAAAGGCAAAAATGTATATGGAGCAAAATTAAGGAGTGCTTATATTAAGGAGGACATCAATTTTAATGGATATGAAGACAATGATAATGATCACATTATTTATCCAGTGTGGTGATTACCTTTTAGCAAGTTATGAATAGGAATCATGATCAGAAAGAATATTAGGACTTGACCATAGATTAGACAAGCCTAATAGTAGTTTAGAAGTTTAGGGATACCTCTAAAATGGGTTACAAAAGTATTCTTAATTATATGGGAACACTGCAGTGCTATTATATCCAGTCCAGACAGAAGAACAAGTACACTGTGGTAAGACTAACTTGCTGAGACCACAAAATATTTACCTGATTCAGATGATAGATCTTCCTTCTGACATGTAGACTTGCCCTGAGTGAGATGAACAGTAAAAGTTCTCTTGAGCATGTGTGCTCACGTGTGCCAATTCAGATAGTGAAAGCAACTCACAGCATCATCTCTAAATGCTAAGTTATTTCTTCTTTAATACAGTTAGGCATAATTGTATTTCAAAACCTCAATTTTATTTAATTTATATGCTTCCTGTCCTTTCTGCAGTGTAGAAAGTTTTCAAAACCAATTCTGGAGCTGTGCATCATGTTTTACTCTGTAGGAAACATGATACAATATCACTCAGAGATGTAAATCAGTTAAATTTAGTGGAAAGTCAAGCTCAGAATAAATTAATATTAGATTTTCAACTTTCACTGCTGGTCACTTTTGTGAACGTACCCGTTAAATATAATTATCCCATAACACTGCACCTCTTTTTTTTTTTTTTTTTTTCCAGTTTGGCTTCTCCAATGTAATACTTATTATACAGCTTTTTTTTTTTTTAATCTCATTTTATTTTTTTGTTCTCAACCAGTTAGGCATAGCAAGGTCATAAAGCAAAGGAACAGGTTCTGACTTTTCAAGCTATCATGAACCACTTGTGAAGAAAAATGTCAGGATCTGGCCCACATTTACTAATAAAAATAGCAAATCCTTTAGTATGCAGTAGATTAGCAAATGCTTGAAAAGAAACAAATTTGTAATCTCCAAATTCAAAAAACTCATTGTAGTTTATCCATAAACTGAAATTAATGTTAATAAATGCAGAATTAGAAGCTTTTTTTTTTTTTTTCATGTAGACACATCACTTCATTGAAGACTAATGGAATTTATGTGCCGATAAAGGCACGGATCCTTATCTTGCAAAATACTGTGCAGCTCTCTGAGACAATTAGTGCAGTTAATTTCTCTAAAACATAGCACCAATCACCCTTTTGTAGAAGCTCAGCATTTGACAAGACAGCGTCCACAGTGAGAATAATATCACAGACATGCATGCCATATGCTAAGTTTTGAAGCATGAATGCTTTCTCTAACTGCAACAGTTCATTTCTCTACCTACAGCTTTAACACTGCTACTTAATTATCCTATAACAAAAGTATGCTTTTAACTACCAGA